AACACTGCACGTTTTGCATGTCTCCTTAATCAAACACACCTGATTCAGGTCATCAGCTCATTAGTAGAGACTCCAAGATCTGAAACTGGTGTGTCAGAGAAAGGAGACATGCAAAATGTGCAGTGTTGGGGTGCCTCCAGGACCAGGGTTGGGAACCACTGTTCTAGCATACAGTACACGTGAGATGCAGGTCAGACTACTGCGTGTGCGCATTTAGAGTTCACACTTTCACTGCATGACTTAATCTATTAAAATACATTTAGAATTACCCCAAAATTCAAGATAAATTCATATACTTTTGTATGCCTTTTATATTTATATCATCTGATAGTCAATATCACACGAACAGTAGTTTTTTTTCTCCAAATATCAGCATGATTGCAAATGTGATATTGATTTTTATAAAACAGTACAATAAACCAAAAGTTAGACACAACAGTTCCTGTTTTTGCACTATTTTGTCAATGTAAATAGTTCCAATCAAAGCCAAAGCAGAACTGTTTTGCATCTCTGAGCAACACACGATGGTGTTTCATTACTGAATCAATCAGCTGTTTGAACGAATTGGTGGAATGAATGACTCAATGACTCATTCATGCAGTGACTTGCCACCTTTTCTGTAACATCAGAACATTATTTATGCATTTGCAACTGCAGGTTAAATGCGTTCATGTCCTGCATTATACAGACTGTGTGAATGCATCTAAATGGCACTTCAGATGCAGTTTCTGTGCCACCTCTATATTGCAAGCACAAATTTTATTTGATTGGCAACAGCCCTATAGTGTATTACTATTTGAATTTCTTGATTAAATTTAAGAATTTGATGCACAAGATGATGCATACATTTGATTAGGTTAGAAAAATGGCCTTATAAACGTAAAAATGCCCATAATAGATAAAAATAAATTTGAACTTAAACCTGCCAAAATACCAGCAAAATAACCCACTCGGCAAAATATTGTCTAATTATCATTATTGACAAAATTCCAGAAAATATCGAGATGTTTTTTTTTATTTTCGTCATTTTCGCACACCTCGCATATTTTATTGTATTGTTCATATGTTAAGCTTTTCAGTTACAGCACAATAATAGCCTGACATGAATTGGATGCATATAGCTGCTCTGCTATATAGAGGGCCTTTACATTGAGACCTTTTGATGATAAAATGTGTTTTATCTTGTAATCAAGTCATCATCAGTTTCCTGGCCAACCCCCCATAATTTAAAGTCTCCCTCTGTGTCGTGGTATGTGGAGTGAGGATGTCAGGCTGGATTTGCCGGCACTGATGGGATGGTTCTGCTGTAACCTGGGCTCCCTGGGCTGAGCAGGCGGGGAACTGCGGTACGTCCTTGATGAAGAACTCCGCTGCGACACGGCCTGTCCCTTTGACTCACCCGGAGCGCTTGATACTCGGGACAAGGAGGTCAGCCTGACCCACTTTCCCCTGCCTGCCCTTCTGTCATGTTGGGAGAGGTGGGTGAGAGGCCAGGGGAGAGTGGGCAGATGGGTGTGCTGCCCGTTTGCACGGGGGGTTACAAGTGAGCGCTCCCGCTGTGGAACATCTCATCCCCCTGAGACAGTAATGGACAGGCACTCCCACAGAGCTCAGTGTCTGGCTCTTTTAATGTAGCTCCTCATCCTCGATGACTCCTACAGCTCTCTTCCTCCTCCTCTTCATCACTTCACTGCACTGCGGTGCTTCTGAGCTCCAGCTGTAATCTATGCAATCAAGCACAAGACATTCAGCAGTGTTAGCTGCTCATCATTTCATGTGTTGTGGAATATTTTTACACTCTAGAAGTCCTTTGTTATGTTCAAGTTATGTTGTGACCTGCTAACCATTGGTTTTACATGTGCGTGTAAAGATGCTGTCAGACAGAACTTGCCTGTTAACATGTAGTGATATATAAGACAGACACAAGTCATCAAAAAGTAAAACTCATTTTCCAGGTTGAAGGCAGGGTCAAAAAATGGGTGTTTCTTATGTAGTTCACTGACAAGCAGGCCTCTCTGCTGAATTTAGACAGGTTACATGTCCTACCTTAAGTGTGCAAAGATATAAGGCATAGTAGCACTTCATGTTGTCATGAATAATCATATCGTCAACATGAAAAAGCATTTGCAACCCATGTGGAATACATGATTCATGGAGAAAAATGGAAGGCGTTTTTTATATTTTAGGAATTTATTATATTGTAAAAAGTAAACTTTGTTGTTGTTGAAAAATGATTTGATTTTAAATGTAATTGTCTATTTAGTAAATAGTAAATAAAATAAATATTAAATTAAAATATTTTATTACAGCAGTGCCATATTTAGTCATTTACTATTATTGTTATTGTTGTTAATGTTAGTATTAGTATATTTTTATTTTATCATTCAATATTATAAACATGCATGTCATAAATTATGTAGGACTTTGTATTTGTATATAAAATATGGAATGCATATATTTATCATTTAAATATTTGTAATAAAATGTCATCTAATAAGAAATCTTATATTTTTCATTATTAATATGTTAATAATAATTGTTATTTATACCATTGTATGAAATGTGAAATGCATATATTTATTATTTAAGTATTTATATTAGAATATCTATTATATATGTGATATAATGTAGAGGTCTTAATATATTAAAAGGAAAAAATCACTTAAAGGATGTTTTATAGCAAAACCCTGTTGATCATGTATGGCATGCTGCTAATGTTCATAATATGCATTGGATTTGGTAGATTTCACTGTACAATGTCCATCTGATAAAGAGTGGGCTTTTACACTCATAAGCTGTCACACCGTGACTTCTTTTGGTCATTCCTTTCTCTCTCTCTCTCTCTCTCTCTCTCTTTCTCTCTCTCTCACTAAACGATTATATAATACATAAACAAAACAAGAAAAGATCTGTAAAATAATTAAGTAAATAAGTACATGTGTACACAAACAAAACAAGAAAAATATTAAAGATTATAATAATTGCACAACAGTACTACTGCTACAAGTAGTAATTAGTACATCTCTCTCTCTCTCTCTCTCTCTCTCTCTTTCTCACTCACTCACTCACTCACTCACTCACTCACTCACTCACTCACACACACACACACACACACACACACACACACACACACACACAAACTCAGTGTGTCAGAATGGCAGCTGGCCCTGCGGTTCTCCTGTTTAGTTCCCCTGATAGAGAGTTGGAGACAGACTGGACTGGTGCAGTAGTGCTTATTAGCCGTGTCTGTCTGCAGGAGCCCTGCTGAGCCAGCCTTGAACCCTCCAGCCCCCAGCAGAGAAAGCGGGGGAGACAGAGAATAGAGAGGGAGGTTAAAGCAGTGGAGGACGAAAGCAAGAGCATGACAGCCAAGGAAAGAGACCTGCCTGTCTGACCTGCATGTCCACTTAGCTAGTTGCCACCTAACCTGATAGAAGGTGGACACAGAATCATTGCTTTGAACAAGAAAGTGATCCGTTTCATCTATTCAGCGATTCTGTGCAGATTGTGAAACTCATGAGCTGAAGCATGTCCATCTGATGCATATTTATAATAATAATAAAAAAATTTTGCTTCATCTGCCCTCTTCAACTTACCTTTCTGTTTTATCTGTCAAGTATTCAGGCATTCAAAATGGCCAAATTGCACATTGCTATTGCAGAGCAGGCTTAAGTAATTGACGTTGTTGTTGTTTTTTTTGTCTGCGTGACTGACCTTGGATATTGCAGTGTCTAGAGTTGCTGTTGCTGCTGAAGTTTTAACGCTCTACAAGATTAGGGTCTGTGGACAGATGCAGCGGGTTCAACGACGGGTTATAAACTGCTCTGACCCGCCTTTGTTTTTATGCATGCATCTCATGAACTATCAGGTTCAACTGTTCTGGAGAGCTCACCTTTATTGCCACTAATGGTTTCAGTACTGCTGACGCAGTCGGAGACTCCCTTACCTTGACGTGTCGTTCCCTTCGGTCTGCTGTTAAACATCTAAAACACACCTACAGTCATCCCTGATCGGCCCAGTGGAAACGGCCCGTTATTGCCCTCATTAGATGTTATACGGTAGATATTTCACAAATTCATCACATATTAACCTAGACTGTGTGTTTGTTTAGCATTTTCATCTAATCGCCTCTCTCGTGAGCGTTTTTCTCGTGGTAGGCTCGTTCCACACCAGACCAGCTCATGCGAAGATCTCAGAGCTTTTATATCACAGCCATCTGTCAATACAATTTGGTCAAATGATTTCAAAACCTGTGCATTTCTAGTGTCTTAAGCCAAGTGGCTGGCTGAGCTCCAGCTGGAATGCACCAAGCATTAAGGCATGATGTGCGTTCAAGCCGCCTCCTGCTGATTCATCCCTCACATGCTGCAAAATTACCTTTTGCTCATTAAAGAATTGTGTAAGTTTAAAAAAAATAATTTGCATAATTAATTTCCCCCTGAGGAACGGGATGATTAATTAATTACTATGCTATTAAACTGGATCTCTTTTTTTTTTTTTTTTCAAATTAACCTCAGGACATCCTTCATGTATAGGATTTTTTCTTTGTCACATCAGTCTCAGTGCATTCGGACACATGTGGGAATCTCAGAAGTTATGAAAAATCTCTGTGTAGTTAAAAATAGTTGAGTCAGGGGTTTTTATTATTGAGTTTAGGAGTCTCAATATTCTGCAATCGTCCTAATCGTCCTGCAATTTTTTTTTGGAGGCTGTCGTCTGCAGCAAGATGAATCTCTTTAATATATTTCTCTGGCCCGGTTGCTTTGCATAGTGCAGAAAAGATGACGCAGGCTCTGGGTTATAATGCCCCAGTGTTTTATTCATATTCTTTTATTTGCAGGGACCCTACATGCTCGCGATTGCTACGCCGCCGTCTGACAGCGCGCTATAGGCTGCATGTAAATGAGGGTTTTAGGTACTTTTGTAGTGTAATATCATGCGGGAGTCTCATTAACCTATAAACAACCTAAACACTTCTCTTTCTCCCTTTCCTCCTACAGAACTCAATACGGCACAATCTCTCGTTGAACAAGTGTTTTCTCAAAGTGCCTCGTTCCAAAGATGACCCGGGAAAGGTAAGCGTTCTCTTTTTCCTCCATGTGTAGTGCTGTTTTATTAAGAAATGCAGGTTTTGTACATTCGCTAAATACAAAATGCCGCTTCTAGAGCAGATTCGGCCGTTAAAAAATGCATACGTATCCTTGTGAAAATGGATGAGAGCGAGCACTCGCAGTAACGTTTTAAAAGCGCTTTCCGGAGCTCTCTCGGGGAGAGGATAAGGTACTTCAGCCCGGCACTTACTGCACGAGAGGGGGGAAGACCACCACCTGCTTCTCCTCAGTTGGCGTACCGCAAGCCCGGCCCACCAGAGCAAAAACAGCCAAGACTGATTCACGTTTAGGCCAGAGTGCAGAGCGATATACATCTCAAAATAAGCATGCACATCTGATAACACGTGTTTATTTTCTGAAATATATACAATGTTGTCAGTGCATCAATACAGCATCGATGGACCCCAGTTAACCTGTTTTTTTTTCTTCCATAAAGAACCGCCGCCAAAACACACACTCATTTCTCTGTATCCTCAGCCATCTTGTGTGAGCGCGTTCACGCACATACGCTCACAGCGCAACATAAAGAGAAGAGCCGAGGCATGCAGGGGATGGGGACTGAATGCTAATTTCATGTTTTGCTGTAATCCTCTGATATTGACACTCCTGGGATGTGCTCCACTAAATACAAAATAATCTATCGCTGGATGGATTCTATTCCGAATGCACGGCCAACATGCTTGCATCCCTAATGTTCAATTTGGAATTTGCCTCCTTCCACACAGCCCTTCCCCCTGGAAGGAGAACTTCAAAGCTGCGCAGGGCTCTCTTGATATGTTCCATCAATATTGTAATACAGCAGGAATATGAAGCCTGCTGTTTGTGCGAGATAGTAACTGAGGCGTGCTTCTCAGAGATGGCAAAAACGATTGTTCACTTCACCTTTGTGATCCGCAACAGCTGCTGAGAATGAGCAAGGCTGAACTTTGGGGCAGATACAATCGCATATGCCCTTGAGTTAGACTTCTGGTCGGAGAAGTCTAGCCTGCGTTGAGACTGTCTTACTGATTTTTTTCCATTGGAATGGAAATTTCAATTAGAAGGCGTTTAACATTAAGCCACTGCAACACCCAGCACATGCATATTTATATATTTGTAGTTTTGAAAGAAGTTTCTTATGTTCACAAAGGCTGCATTTATTTGCTTAAAAATGAAGAACAGTAATCTTGTGAAATGTTACAATTTAAATGAACTCTCTTCTATTTTAATGTGTTAAAATATATAATAATATAGACATTTTTCCAGACTTCATTGTCACATGATCCTTCAGTCTTTACTGTCACTATTGATCAGTTTAATACAAATCTTGCCAACCCTAAACTTTTGAACAATAGTATGTAATACTATAAAACGTCTACTAAGTGAATACATGTAAAGTGCTATTAAATGTTACTACTTAATTTAGAAAAATGTAATACTTGATTTGCGATGGTCATTGTTAAGGGAGGTGTATTGATGTTCTTTAGTGCATTTTTTTTATGGCTTTTAATTTTGGGGTTCAGCTGAGTTTATCTAAACAAGTAACCTCGACACAATCTTATTGTATTGCCCTATATTTCAGATTCATGTAAACTCTCCTTTCATGGATTTCTTTAAACATTGCTTTCTCTCCAGGGATTGTGATGCAGCTTACAGATACTCCCCTCCCAAGGGCTTTCGGTTTTTCAAGATTTTTCAGCTAATTAAAAGGAACGCTACTCAGCCCCCCCTTCCACAGTGAAAGTGTCTTGCAGTAGTTTTCATTTAAATTACATCTGCTAGGTGTAACAGACTGCCAGCGTTCTCAGTCACCTTCAGCTGTCCTTCATCGTCACTGCATCAATTACAGGAACATGGTTATTTAAATTGAAATAAAGAACACTAGGATGTTTGTTACAGGGAAATTGTCGTGCATGTTATGCACTCTGATGGTCTAATGCTGGAATATAATGCGTAAATGGTGATGCAAGGTGAAGATCATGTTTCACCATTTGTTAAACTATTTGAGAGTAGCTGTACTTATCTAGTCTGTTTATTGTGTGGGAGCACTCTTTACCTTTAGCATTTAACATACTCATGCTACATTAGAATTTATAAAGAAACTGAAGACCCTTTCACATCAGCGCACCTCTCAACTCAAGTGCCATGCGCTGTTTATTAATTTGCATAGAATAGATAATATGTACAGTGTGATGATTTATTCTCTGAATGTCGGGATATGCTTTTGACGTTTTTGCTACACACGTCGCTCTCTAATGATACATCATGCGTATTCCCGGGTAATCAGTGGCAAGTTAAAACTGTCCGAATTTTAAGTATCACGTTACAGTGCTTGACTTGAGTGCTGCATGTCATTGTGGGTAATGCTGTAGCTTTTTAATATGTAATATGTAATTTTTATTTATTGTGTGTGTGTGTGTATGTATGTATGTATGTATGTATATATATATGCGGCGTATGGTCGGAGCACTGACAGGCTGACCCCCCCACCCCTTCAACCCCTGCAGCAATGCTGGCAGCACTAATACGTCTATTTCCCAAAAACAACCTCTGGATATGACGCTGAGCACGTGCACTCAACTTCTTTGGTCGACCATTTCCATTTTGTTCTGAGTGGAAAATGTATGTGTGTACGTATGTACCTTTTAAGAATGTAAAATTAGATGAGGCTCTTATTAAAATTGAAGATTAAATAATGACTATAATGTCTGACTTTGGTTGACTGCTAAAAAGTGAAATTTGAATGCCTGGTTTACCATTTGATTAATGTTAATTGTGTCACATCCTCTCATTAGGCTGGTTTTAGTACACTGCTTTCAAGGCCAAAAAATGGCATGTTAAAGCAAGGTGTGATCATGCTGTGAGCGTTGCGATTGGTCAGATTGTTTTGGAGCTGTCATCACACTTAGCTAACAAATGGCTGCAACAGCCGTGTATTAAAACAGGGATAATGAGAACTTTTCTTAAGGTAGGGAGGCTTCGAAAAACCGTTCGGGCACAGGAGCTTTGCTCATTGCTAGGGTTGGGAACCAAGAACCGATTCTGTTTTTTGAAAAGAACCGGAACCATGAGCTATTTCTATGTTTTGGTTCCGAAAACGGTTCTGGTGCGACACGTGACCAAGCGCTGTGAGCAGCCTTGCACCTGCGTTTCCCGTAAAGGATGTCACAAACTAAATAACAGAAACGCCGCCCTGCCTCTTTAATTACTGAGCACATTGCTTCCCATGACGCGCACTCCACAGACGCACTGGGCCGCGTCTTTAACTGCCGAACACATCGTTTTCCACGAGTGTATGCGCACTCGCGTCTTTGATAACTGTGCACATTGTTTTGTCTCACTGTACACGTACCGGCAGCACGCAGCTCCTGCCGCCCCTAAATTACATTATATTTGTCCCATATTGTCATTAATATACATACTGACTTCAACTTGAACCACTAAATAAATAGTCTGCTATTGTTATGCAAGTATGAGGGTTAGATTATTTAGTGTACATGTCATTTCAAGAGTGATAAACATAGTGATAGAAAATATTTATTTTCATGCAGTTTAAAAATGTGGAAACCACTCATTGCATCACACCATCTCCTGACTGCATTATTATTTGTAAAATAGGGGCTTTATGGAGTGTGTGTACACATGGTTATAAGTATAACAGTTAATATTTCATTCATTTAGGGAAATGAATAAGTGTCTTAGCCCTCAAGGGACTATTTGGCCAACCAGTTTATTCCTGCTTGAAAAGCAAAATGTTATTGATAGTGTAAAAAACATCAACTTTGAAGCACATGTGATTGATGGACTAGCATTACTCAACATTACTTACTACCTTCCAGCAACACTACATTCAATGAAGGTAAAATAGTAAAAAAAATAATAATAATAGTTCATTTAAATGGAACCAGAATCGGAACTGGAATCGTTAGGCAAAACTGGAATCGGAACCGGAAAATTTCTAACAATGCCCAACCCTACTCATTGCCATTCCGTAGCTTCTAACCTGTGCCGTATTGCTGTTTAAATGCAGAAATTTACATCATTTTATCAATATGTCTTTGGAGGCCGAACGCTTGAGGAACCTGAAGCATGCTGTCTAGACAAATCCTTTGGTGATTTTCAATTATTCTCCTTGCTTAGGTGCACACATGAGCTGTGCACAAGTAATTTTGAAGGTCTTGATCGCACCCTCTCTGGACAATTGAGATCTTATCTCATATAATATGAAATATTTTAAAATAAAACCCAAGCCTGGAGGTTAATTTCTTTTTCTTTTTGCCTAACTTCGTGGCCAGGGTTGCCTTTAGCTTCTGGGAAGAGCAGCACTATTGAAAAATAAATTAAACAGGAAGAATGCAAAGATAAATTATTCAGCCAGGGTCTTGGGTGCTTGGATACCAGCAGCCCCAATCCAAGGTGTGCTATTTTCTGCCTGATTATCAGAGCTCAGACCTGACCAGAAATCCAAATCCACTGTGTCCAGCCCTGAACAGGAGCAATCGATAAACCTGCGGCTGAGGAAGAGGGGCTTCAGGAGGGCTTAACATTTTACCTGCCTCTGCCAAGGCTCAGGAGAAATGCGACGCGAGAGAGCGAGCGAGCGCAAGAAACGGCTATAGCAAAAGACCCAACTTCTTCGCACCTCAACATATACGTTCTCCCGACGTGATGGGCTTACAAATGAGCCTGCTGAAACTTTGATGAACTAAAAGTTGTATGTGTTTGACGGCGAATGCGCCCAGTATCTGATTGCAGAACCCTGCTGATTATCGTGCTTTGCTTTTCATCAAAGTTTTATTGAATGGCTTTAAGTTGACCACTATTTTAGAGTATGATGACTTGCTTTGGGACTAATATTCCATCCTCATCCTGTTTTTAGGGTTCGTACTGGGCAATCGACACAAATCCAAAGGAGGACACGCTGCCCACACGACCCAAGAAGAGGCCACGGTCTGGAGAGCGGGTGAGTGAAAGTTTGTGTGTGTGTGCGTGTGTGTGTGTGTGTGTGTGTGTGTATATGTATGTGCGCACGTTTAAGTTTATGTGTGTGCTCCGAGACCCCCTGGTGGTCGGCTTTCAAACATACAGACTTTCTCAAGCCAAACTTAGCTCATTACTTCGAGTCCGGGAGTGACCAAAAAGCAGAAAACAGTGAGTGTTTCGCTCTCCCAGTTCAAACTCAATGTCACTGATTTGCTCCATCACTTCTCTTGACCCTGTGGTTGCTTAGATTACGGTTCAGTTGCCACTGTGATTATTACAGTGTTTCCAGCACAGTAATTTTATGGCTCCATAAAATAATCCATAATAATATTCAAAGGCCCCATAACTTTTCCAGTTGTTTGTGATTTATTCAAAAATATTTTTACAGATTTTGCCCAATTAATATAATTTAAAAAAAATTATAAAATAAGAGCTTTGCATAACCAGAAAAAATCATTAAAAAATGTCCATGCAGTTTAAAGATTTTGATATTTTGCTTGTATCTAGAGAGAGGCTACCTCATTTATTGATGTTTTTCAAAACAGTGGGAACCCTGGTTCATCTGAGAAAAAAACAGTTGTTGAAGGGTTGAGTCACAAGAAATATCTTAAGTTGAATTGAGGTCTCTTTTTTCTCTTATTTTAAAAATTTGAAAGGAATTGTTCACCCAAAAAAGAAAATCAGCATTGGACCATCCAAAATGAGTTTATTTCTTCATCGGAATAGATTCAGAGAAATTTAGCAGTACATCACTTGTTCAATGAGTCCTGTGCAGTGAATGGGTGCCGTCAGAATGAGAGCATCACAAGTAATCCAAACAAACCCAGTCCATTAGTTAATGTCTTTTAAAGCAGTGATTTGAAGTTAAAAACAGCTAAATGAAAGATTTGTTTATTACAAACAAACAGCTTTTTGCTTCACTGGAGTCGTGTGAATTACTCATGGATTATTGTGATGTTTTAATTAGGGCTGTGCGATATGGACAAAAAAAACCTATCGCGATTTTGATCAATATTGCGATTTCGATTTTAATCACGATTTTGACACACACAGACATGCTTTACAGTCATTAATGCATTCAGTGTGAATTTAAAACATATTTCCAAAAGAAAACCAATTAGAGCTTTATCAAAAAGCTGTAGCATGTCTCTAGAACAGACATAAGGCAAAATAATCACTAAGTAAAGGTGTAACAAAATGTTACACCATGTCCAGGGATTTTTTTTTTGCCGTGCATTGGTCATAGAGCTCTTTGTGGTGTTGCCTCAGATGTTGAACTAGATTTGTTGCGCCAAGTTCACACGTACTCCGTCTGCAGTGCGTATACAGTATGTGTATGCAATGCAGAAGCAGTAAGGACTAATTTTGCTTTCACACAGGACGCGTTTGCAGTCCGCTCCTGATCCGCGGCTGTTTACCACAAACACAACATTTATCCATTATTTTGATTTCAAATCCAAACGTTGTTTCTGAAAATGCTTTTTCAGCATTGTGATTCTCTTTTATCACAGTACAGTAATACAATCTTTCATAGACACATTCACGTTTAAACTCAATAAATGTAACTTTGTTTAACTACCACCTCGAGTGCCATCTATTATTGCCTTGTTTATATTTTTACCGCGAATAATACGCTGTCAATTTAATTCAGTGCGTGCAGCACAGCAGAAATAGATTTGCGCCTGTGTCGAGCTCGTCCGCACTCATCCGCGGTTGAGTATACTTTGAAAGCTGTGCGGACGCGGCTGTGCACGAGATGGAACGGAAAACAGAGAATGAAGTATACCCGGGCCTATAGACTCCGTGCGGAAACGATAGCAGCATGACTGCTGCAGACGCACTGCTCCTGGAGCGCACTGCCGGACCGCAATCGCGTGCAGTGTGAATGCTCTGATCCATTAACATGGGTGTGGAAAAAATACGCACCACAGACGGAGTGTGTGGACCTGGCGTTACGTTTGTATGCCCACCCGGTCTGTTCTGTTCTCGTGCTCCGTTTAGGCGCGCTGCATTCTGATTGGTTCAGATAGCATACTGCGGGGAGGTCGGGGGCGTGGAAAATCATGCTATAAAGTGATTTAGAAATCGCGCAAGCTCAAATCGTGATTTTATGATTATTTCGATTAATCACACAGCCCTAGTTTTAATCAGCTGTTTGGACTCTCATTCTGACGGCACCCATTCACTGCAGAGGATCCATTGGCAAGCAAGTGATGTAATGCTAACATTTTTCCAAATCTGTTCCGATGAACCATTGATTTACACTGCCATGGAAATAGAAATCGTTTTACCCAAGATTTTGCGGTTTCAGATGAGTATGATGATATTAAAAACTGAAATAATTCAAAGATAATATATAGAAGGTCTTTTGATGCATTTGCTTCAGGGTTATATGATTCACAAACATTAATCTCATGAATCAGTTCTTTTAATCCACTTCGCTTTCTGACTGAATGTTATGTTAATGTGTACGTAAAGATACACATTGACCAAAGAGATTTGTTTGTTTTAAAATACGTTACAAAAAAATAAATATTGTTTTAGTATGTAGTAAGCAGTCCCTGCTGTGAAAACCGATTTCTGTAGGAAAAAGGATTACAGGTGTAAAAATCTCAACCTATTGTAGTCAGATTCATCTTTCTAAACTTTAACGGTCAGCAGAAAACCGTATCATTTCTTCAGAGTATGTGTTGATGGCTCGTTGCGCATTTTTTTATCTTTTGGAAAGAGCAACAAACAAAACCAACCAAGCAACCACACATAAGATTTAATGTTAACATAGTATGTAGTAGTTTTGTCATAGAAGCTTCTTTCCAAAATAAACATATTGCGCAAGTCTCTTTTTTTCCATCAGCATTATCTTGCAGGCAGTCTGCCTTTAGCATGATGCTGCCTGTGTTGGGTTTTTGCTTTTTTACAAGGCTAGAAATATGTGACAACATGGGCTTGGTGTGTTGATAGAAAAGAATGAGACAGGACTGAATATTTCCTCAGTCGAGAACACTGGCTTTGTTTCATGTCTGAGTCGGTGCTTTACATTTGTGCCGCGCACAGGTTTTCTGATTGCGCGCTCATATCTTTTTATATAGCTGTCTCACTCAGTGCGGCTCAGTTTATCTTGTAGAGGGGGGTCCAGCTTATTAATAAACTGTGCCCCAGGCAGCCTTTACATACGTTGCATTCTGCAGTCATTTTTTAGCAAACATCAATTAATGCAGAGTTTCTGCGCCGGTTATTTTCAGCCAGAGCTTTTTCCTTCCATTATTTATGAGCAGCGCTCACCGGAATATACAACTCGGCTGCACTCGACGCTGGTCTCCGAGGTTGACCTGGCTCAGAGGCATCTTGCATCATTTTGTCCAGCCCTGCGTTGTGGATCGGAGGCAGGCGAACCGAAAAAGTTCAGCTATAGTAAGAGCAAGGGGCGGGGATTGAAGACATGTAAACATATAACTAGGGATGCTCCGATCCGCCTCTTTTGCCTCCGATACCGATTCCGATACCTAGGGTTTGGTATTGGCCGATACTGATTCCGATCCGATACCAGTGAAGTTTTTTTCCGCTTGCTCTCGCTCTTTGCTCACAGTGAGAGAAAGCGACGGAGAGTCGTGCGCCTTCACACTAGAAACACATTACGACAAATACACAAACACAGGTGCGCTGCGCATCCATTCAAATGAATGAAAAATATCAAAGATCGCTTGACGGCGAGAGAAACTCTGAAGCGCTCAGTCAGAGTGTTTGGCGAATGAAAATATATCTGTGCTAAGCTTGTACTCAGCATCCAACTCACACACTGATGAGTAAAATCTGAGAATTTATTAGCCATTGGCTAATATTAGACATCATTTAGTCGCCCAGAGTGAAGATTTAGTTTATAGTCTTTTCTACGCCCGTGTTTTGTTCTCGCAGACATCCGGTAGCAAGTAACAAAACATTAAACTCCGGCAAGAAGATAAAGTCCTTTTTGAAAAATCATAGACATGTATTTACAAATCAAGTATAATGGGAACACAGAATGATCTTGGAGAGAGCTTTACCGAGCTGACTGCTGTAACCGAACGCGATGTTATGCTTGTTATAAATGTTAGCTTGAACTAGTCGTTTTTAGCAGCGGACACCAAGAATTTTATTGTGCGATATTGACTAAATTATAACTAGGGCTGACCTGTTTTCAGTTAACGAACAGAACATTGTAGCGCTCATTGCATCCAAAAACTCGCAAAAAGATTTGTACTTTGTTACTTCTGATATGAAACAAAGTCTCAAATTTAAAATTCTTAACCATTTTATTACAATATTCAAACAATAAATGCTGTTTTGGTGCTGGAGTGACAGATCGTTGTAGCGCTTCAGTTCAAGAGAAGCGGCAGCGCGAAACACGCGTGTACTGATCATCTCCTCTGCTTTAACTATTAACAGCACAAAATAAACATGAATGATCATCCTAAGGTATGTTAAAAGAAAGAGTACAGCTTACCAAAATCCGCATCCATTCTCATGTAATTGCCCAATCAGTGTTTCAAACACGGAAAGGTGTCAATAAAACGGCTTATAAACAATGTCACGTAACGTCACATTTACAACATATTCGGTGACCAAAAACTTGTTAGTCAGCTAGAAAAATGAATGCTAGAGAGAGCATTTTGCTAAATATAAGCTCTATATAACATTTATTATAATTTTTTTACTGTTCTTCAATGTTTAATTTGTTTGAATAAATCCGTCAATTTTTATGACAGCCACTATTTAAATGTTTGTTTCAAAAAACTAATTGGAGTAGAAATATTATTGTAATTGTAACTTTATTATTATAAAAAATTAGTGTACTTAAACTTATTATAAAATGTAGTGTAATTTAAGCGTGTATATAAATCAGTTAATGTTAACTGTCAATATTATAGTAATGTAGTACCTACTGACTCTCATGAATATTTTACATTAGCATTAGTTTGTTTTTTTGGGGGGAGAAAAATTGTC